GCTGGAAGGGACCTTGGAAGATCATCGGATCCAGCCCTGATGCTAACAAATGAATTGTAACAGATTAATTAACTGCTAACAAATTAATGGTAACAGATTAATTAACTGCTAACAAATTAATCGTTAGCAGTACAGGATCTAGGACACACAGCTCTCTCTCCACCAAGAAGAGGGCAAGGTTGTAGGTGCATATGAGTCAAGTTTTATCTGCATACATATAGTCATCTGTAATACCATAATTCCAACATTTTAGGTTCAATCTGAGGCTTTGCAGCACTCTCTTTAGCCGGGCATGTGCTGTGACATTCAACTTCCAAATGAATCACGTTATAACAAACCTACTCCCAAAAATCTGCTCTATGTGGAGAGGATGCTATCAAGGGCTACATCTAAAAAAACCTGTTGCAACTTCCCAAGAGCCTTCCACAAAATACAGATTCCTTACGAACCTGGGAGAAACTCAAGTCATATGAAATTAATTCCAAATCCCCAGCTGTTATTTAAACTACTCGGTATTTTTACTTCTTTTTAACCTATAAATAGGTTTGTAAAGCCCTCGGCCTACCAGGAGGGTGCTTTGCAGGTGTTATTCTCTGCTGCAGGTGACAGCCAGTGACTCAGGAAGGGTGCCTGGTGTCTGAAAACATCTCACCCAGTGAACAGCAGGTCCAGTAAAAGATATCAATTTTTTTTTTTAAAAGCTCGCTTCTCCAATAGATGACATACCAGAGCAGATACACAAGTGTGCCGCTGCCCACAATAAAGTGCACCGGACAAATCACTTTAAAAAACCCACCATTTTTTTCTAAGCTTAGCAGCCCTCTGCCCATTGTGCCAAACCACCGCACGTGCAAAAGGACATGCAGCACACTGAGAACTGGACAGGAATGGACACACACACCCAGCCTCAGCGGAGACAGATCTCGTTGTTAAATCCAACTATATCTCATGTCTTCATTGCAAACCTGGAGCATGCATGTAAGAAGTTATAAAGAATTTGTTCTGGGAGGTCTCATCGAAGGGCGCACACCACCCCCCATGCTCCGACAGGCAGCGTCACGGATGCAATGGGGCCTGACAAGGAAGGCCAGCAACACGATTTTACAGATTGAGACTTTTCCTGGGTTGGCTTCCCAACATTTCACAAGCAGCCAGAGGATTGCTTTATGTCAGAGGGGGAAAGAAGGATCACAGACACGCTGGGAGCTTGGCTTAGCTTGTATCAATGCAAATAAATAAACCTGTGTAGATTCAATGCAAACTGCCAACAATCCCAAAAAATGTCCTTCTGTTTTTATGCACCAGTAAATGAGTCCCTTATGTGATACAGGCAGAAAAAAAAGACAAATCTGATCCTAGCATGCATCAGGTGAGCTATTTGCAGTAAAGCTAAGGCAATACTCCTGGTATTATATTGGGGAAAGACCTCATAGGAAATGCTGTGCACAGAGCTGGTAACCCAGCAAGAAAGATGGATTCAGACCAGAACGGACTCAGAGATGGACTCCCGGGAAGATCAGAGGACTGGGAAGCCTTTCTTCTCACCGGCGACGAGAAGAGCTTGGTTTGTGTGGCCTAGCAAAAAGGAGAGGGGATACAATTCCTGTCCACGAATCCACGAATCCATCACAGGGTCAACCTAAAAGCTAAAGCACAGTGTTGGCATAAGATCCCCTGGGTATCAACCGGCCTTGACGAGAACGGCGGCTGGAAATTACAAGAAATTTTCAAGTATGGGAGGAGTGAGTTTCTGGGCCAGTGCACCACCAGGAAGAGTGGGACAAACCCCCTCCCTAGTTCTTAAAATGCCGCTTGAGAGCTTTTGGCCAGGACGATGAGACGGCTGCTGCAGGCAGAGACGGCAAGCAAAGGGACCAACAAGGATGGCAGGTTTCTGCCTTCAGAAACATCCACAGCCCCTTTAGAGAGGATGATGCTCCTTTGTCAGGCTGATGCAGCCCCCCTGCCATCAGTGATGCTGCCTGTCGGTGCAAGGGGGATCTGTCTGAGGGCTGGGACTTGTCCGGATCAATACGTTCACCACCAAAATGCTAGCCCATCTGGACTGGAGCTGGGCAGTGACTAGCAGCCATTGCAAAGAGGGCACATGAGAAAAAAAATGTTAGGTGAAGCAAGCTCCAGTGCACTTTAAATTCAAATAGGAGCGAGACTTGGCTCTGAGATCTATCATCTTCAACAGGTCTGAGGACCAAGCACTGCCCCCGTTACCATCTCCTTAGCTCCTCAATAAAATAACTCGTTAGCGGGGCTGATCTTGACTTCCTTGTGTTTGTACTGCACGCACTGTCCCTACCAGACCTTGACCCTTAAAAAAAAAAAATCCATCTCCCATTTTGGAAGATTTCCCTTGATGCTAGAATTAACAATCCACCCTTGCATTGGGATGATCTGACATCCCTAGGCTGTGAGCGTGCTGGAGGGCTCTGATCCATGGGATTTCCACCCTTAAACTTAAGTCACATAAAGTTAACCCCAAATCTCCAGCTGTTATTGAAACTTCCCAGTCTTCTTCTTTCTTCTTAACATAGAAATAGGTTTGTAAAGCCCTTTTCCGAACAGGAAGGTGCTTTTCACCCTTAAGTCTTAAAACACTTTACAAAGTAGGTGGGGAATCTGTAGCAGAGAGAGGGAGAGCGATTTAGCCGTGGTCTCCCAGCCAAGCTCAGAAACCCTGACTCCCGGCCCCGAGCTGTGTAGACAGGGCTGTATAACGGCGTCGGGGTAGGTTTTGTTTTCAATTGCTAGGAAGGAAGGAAGGAGTTTCTGAAGGCTGATACGACAAACTTAGAGGCTTGTATTTATCATTATTAGTGTTGACTTGTGCTCTAAATAATGAACCGCTGCTTTTTTCCTGTTCATGAAGAAAAATAATGCAATTCTTCGTTATCCACATGTGCGTGCAAAGCCTTACAGCTCCTTGCACTCACTCGCATGGCGCTGGATGCATTTCTTGAGGAAATGAAGACAGCCGGATGCTTGGAAATACTTCTGCCTTTCCTTGCATGCACAGGGGAGTGCCTTTTGTCTTGCCTGGGCTTGCTGCGGGGACTCGAGCCTTGCAGAGAGCCCGTAGAGGGCAGCATATTTTACATCCCTCACCTCCACTTGTTTCTGGAGGATTTCGCCTTTCTGCTTCTGTACTGCACGATGCTGTGTGTTGATGAATGCCTGGGGGACTGGTGGATGATAACAGGAGCACAGGAGAGGGATAAAAAGAAGGGAGATGACAAGAGACTATGCCTGTTTTAGTTTCCTTTTCGATAAATCCATATCTCCACCCTTTACCCATACACACACACACACATATATAGATAGATAGCTCTATCTATCTATCTACAAAGGCAACAAGAGATGAATGCAAGCTATCACAGTGGCGGGGCTGTTCCTGTGCCACCACGAAACAAGAGGCCAAAACCAAAGGGGATCGTAGTAGATAATGTGACCGTTTGGGGCAGAGTTAAATGCTCTCCAGATCTATACTACAACAACTTAAAAGACAGAAATCCATGCATTTTCCCTGACACTATACAACTCAACAGCTCCAGATCTAAAATACCCTGCAGTTTTGGGTTGCACTTGTGTGCGTGTGCACATAGTCGTTAGGGGCTGGACAGGACCTTGCAGGTCATGGGGTCCAGCCCTCCCTGCACGTGGGCAGGAGAGGCTCTTTGGGTGACTCTGGTCTCTTTTCTTAGACCGACCCGAAGGGCTACGCGCGTGCAGATCTAGCTCTGTTTGTCCAGGCAGATGCATCTCCCTCTAGACAGGCATCTATCTCCGGACAGGGGTGGAGATGCAAGAGGCATGAGGAAGAAGTGGGGAGGCTCATCCCTCCTCCTCCTGCTGCTGCCTCCAGCTGTGTGCCCATGCCCCTTGGAGGCAGTGCCACCTGCCACCCTGGCTCTCAGGGGGCCAGGGGCAGAGCCCAGCCTGCCCAGGAGAGGGGGAAGGCTGGGCTGGGGGCTGGCATCCCTCTGCCCTGGCAGGGTGCCCGGGTGCAGCCTGCAGCAGGCTGGCTGGTGGGCAGGGGGCTGGGCATCCCCAGGCTCTGCCTCCTTCCCCACCCCCCAAAAAACCTGGAGGTGGGCGCAAGGAGATGACGTCGGCTCCCTAACCTTTCAACTCCCCCAAAGTCCCTTGTTTTGAGTGTGGGTTTTTTGGGAAGCCCAACATGGCCGCTGTCTCGAGCTGTCTCAGGCCCCAGCTGGGGGCATTTGCAGGGCTGGCCCCTCTGCCAGGCGGCCGGGGGCTGCTCCGGGGCCGGGGGCAGGCGGGCAGGGCACGCCCGGCGGCGGGGACACCCGCGCACCTTGCACTGCTTTGCACTGCACCGCACTGCACCGCACTGCACGGGGCTTGCACAGCCGCGGGCTCCGGGCACGGGCCCGGGGGCGAGCGGGCAAGGAGGGCTGGGATCTCCCGGGAGGCTTGCAGCCAGGGGTTAGCCCTGAGGATCTGCAACCGGGGGGGTGTTCCTGAAGACGTGCAACCCGGGGGGATCATCCCTGAAGACGTGCAACCAGAGGGGTTTATTCCTGGAGTTTTGCAACTAGGGGGTTATCCCTGAAGATGTGCAACTAGGGGGTTATTCCTGAAGATGTGCAACTAGGGGGTTATCCCTGAAGATGTGCAACCAGAGGGGTTATTCCTGAAGATGTGCAACTAGGGGGTTATTTCTGAAGATTTGCAACCAGGGGGGTTGATCCCTGAAGGTGTGCAACCAGGGGGGTTGTTCCTGAAGGTGTGCAACCAAGGGGTTTATCCCTGAAGATGTGCAACCAGAGGGTTATCCCTGGACGTTTGCAACTAGGGTTATCCCTGAAGATGTGCAACGAGGGGGGTTGTTCCTGAAGGTTTGCAGCCAAGGGGTTTATCCCTGAAGGTGTGCAACCAGGGGGTTATTCCTGAAGGTGTGCAACTAGGGATGTTTGCAACTAGGGGGTTATTCCTGAAGATGTGCAACCGGGGGGGTTGTTCCTGAAGGTGTGCAACCAAGGGATTATCCCTGAAGATGTGCAGCTAAGGGGTTGTTTCTGAAGATGTGCAACCAGAGGGGTCATTCCTGGAGGTTTGCAACCAAGGGGTTATCCCCGAAGATTTGCAACCAGGAGAAGATCTGCAAGCAGAGGGGTTTATTCCTGGAGGTCTGCAGCCCCCTCTGCCATTGCCCAGCCGGGCTCAGGGGCACCCCCAGCCTGCCCTGCTCCGAGCTGCCTGGAAGACTGCAATGCCCTGGCTCAGTGCTCTTATTATGATGTCTGTCCTGGGTGGGGGGGTCCCTCCTCCTCCTCCCCGGGGCGAGCTGGTCTGGCAGCGAGCTCGCCTTTGCTTGCACGTCACAAGTTTGACAGCTTTGCACCAAATCAGATCGCGGGGCTGGCAGAGAGGTCCGAGGCGTCACCGGGAGCTCCTTTAGATTAGGACAAGCCTCCCCGGGCTGCCCCCCCTTCAGAGCCGGGGAGAGCTCGCCGGGGCTTTAAGGCACCGGTGCTGCTCGGACCTGCCTTGCAAGCTCGCCCCTGCGATGGTGAGTGCCCCGCGGAGCCGCCCGGGCAGCGGGGGGGGGGGGGCCCGGGGCTGCAGCAACAGGCCGGTGGCAGCCACCCGGCTGCAGGAGCCGGTGCCCGGGCAATGGGTGGATGCGCAGCCGCTGCAGGAGGCGTCCAGGGACGGCCCTGCTCCTCGCCATCACCCGCAAGGGCGGCCTGCCCCGGGGAGGGAGGTGGGGAGAGCCCCCAGCCGGCTGCCAGATGCGGCTGGGCACACCTGCATGCCCCTGGCCCGGCATCCATCCATCCCTGCATCCCACCCTGCGAGCGGGGAGGGGTGGGGACCAGCGCCGGGGATGCTCCGTGCGTGATGCCCCCCGCTCTCCCCTGCCCAGAGCACCGCGCTGCCCCGCCCGGAGCCGCCCCTCGCAGGGGGCCAGGCGGGCTCCTGCTCCTGCTCCTGCTGCCGCTCCAGCTCCAGCTCCAGCGCCTGCCCGTCAGCCGCCAGTGTTGATGTCTCCAAGGAGACCCGGGTTTCTTTCTGGGCTGCCGGTCTCCCGGACAACAGCGGCGAGGGACAGCCCGGCGGTAAGTCGGGATGCAGCCCCCGGCCCCGGCCCCGGCGGCTGCAGGACCAGGGAGCAGGTGCCTGCAGCTGGGGGCACCCGGGGGAGGGCGGGGTGCGCGGGCTGGCACCATGCCTGGAGGGCGCAAGTGCCCCTGCTGCTCCCCCTGCAAGGGGGGCAATATCAGGCTTGTGGGGGGGGGGGCGTTGCTTGAACCCCTCTGGAAGGGGTGCAATGCCCGGCTTGGGGGGGGGGGTTGCTTGAACCCCTCTGGAAGGGGTGCAATGCCCGGCTTGGGGGGGGGGGTTGCTTGAACCCCTCTGGAAGGGGTGCAATGCCCGGCTTGGGGGGGGGGGTTGCTTGAACCCCTCTGGAAGGGGTGCAATGCCCGGCTTGGGGGGGGGGGTTGCTTGAACCCCTCTGGAAGGGGTGCAATGCCCGGCTTGGGGGGGGGGGTTGCTTGAACCCCTCTGGAAGGGGTGCAATGCCCGGCTTGGGGGGGGGGGTTGCTTGAACCCCTCTGGAAGGGGTGCAATGCCCGGCTTGGGGGGGGGGGTTGCTTGAACCCCTCTGGAAGGGGTGCAATGCCCGGCTTGGGGGGGGGGGTTGCTTGAACCCCTCTGGAAGGGGTGCAATGCCCGGCTTGGGGGGGGGGGTTGCTTGAACCCCTCTGGAAGGGGTGCAATGCCCGGCTTGGGGGGGGGGGTTGCTTGAACCCCTCTGGAAGGGGTGCAATGCCCGGCTTGGGGGGGGGGGTTGCTTGAACCCCTCTGGAAGGGGTGCAATGCCCGGCTTGGGGGGGGGGGTTGCTTGAACCCCTCTGGAAGGGGTGCAATGCCCGGCTTGGGGGGGGGGGTTGCTTGAACCCCTCTGGAAGGGGTGCAATGCCCGGCTTGGGGGGGGGGGTTGCTTGAACCCCTCTGGAAGGGGTGCAATGCCCGGCTTGGGGGGGGGGGTTGCTTGAACCCCTCTGGAAGGGGTGCAATGCCCGGCTTGGGGGGGGGGGTTGCTTGAACCCCTCTGGAAGGGGTGCAATGCCCGGCTTGGGGGGGGGGGTTGCTTGAACCCCTCTGGAAGGGGTGCAATGCCCGGCTTGGGGGGGGGGGTTGCTTGAACCCCTCTGGAAGGGGTGCAATGCCCGGCTTGGGGGGGGGGGTTGCTTGAACCCCTCTGGAAGGGTTGCAATGCCAGGCTTGGTGTGGGGGGGGGAGGTTGCTTGATCCCCCCTGGAAGGGGTGCAATGCCAGGCTGGGAGGGGTGTTGCTTGATCTCCCCTGGAAGGGGCGCAATGCCAAGCTGGGGCGTGCTGCTTGATCCCTGGGAAATTTGGGGGTTGGGCAGGAGGGGCACAGCTTGTAAGCCAAAACAGCTGGGACTGTCCATGCTGGAGGCTTCAACACAGAGAGGAACGGGGGAAACCTGGTTGGACCCAGCTCACCATCCAGGGCAGCATGGCCCCGTCAGTGGCAGCTCGTACGGAGGGGGGATGCATTAGGCTGACTAGGGTCTAAGGGAGCCGGGAGGGACAGGCTGGGCACAGCTGGAAAGCGGCTACTGTGAACGTGCCACCTGGTAGGTCTCCGACCAGCCTGCCCCGATCCTCCTCAAGGCAGCCCGGCAGTCTGGATGTTAGACTCTACTAGAAATGGGGAAAGGGAGATGGCTCAGAGTCACGGTGGAGGAGCAATAGTGTCCAGACGGGAACCCAGGTGTCTGGACTCCCTGCCCGGCCGCTCTGCCTCATAGGGTCTCTGCCAGGCTTACATCGAAACATCCTTTCCTACTGACAGATCCAAGTGTCTGCCAGACAGAGAGGTCTTGGCCCCAACCAAGGGTGATTTCCAGATGTATTATTCAATGTTTCAAATGGCTGACACCTCGTTGCTGTGTAGCAAAACCCTTCCTTGCCTGCAGGAGCAAACCACAGGGTTTGAAATACCCTCGATGATGGTTTCTGTATTGGTGTGGAAACTCGGGTTCCTGCGTTCATTGCTTTGATTTCTGTTCCCCCCCCCAGACCCGTTCTGTGATTTGGATTTTGCTGGTCAGGATGACGTGTGGCCAGGAGACCAGCTGTCCTCCCAGCTCTACAGAAACAAGCAGGTAACCTGTCCTATAATGCCCCCCTTCCCCGGGGGAGCACATCCCTTGCTTACAGGAGACAGGCCCCCACGCCTGCTCCTGGACTGCATTTATACTCGCAGCAGGTTTGGGATTGACGTATCCATCAGCCTGCATTTCTCTTTGGCACGGGTATGGAAAATGCTGGTAACACCAAGTCATTTTTTTTCCCTGCTCTCTCTTCATCTTCCTGAAATATTTGAATGGCTGCTCTCGACCTTTTGTAGACTCAGGGCACCCCTCGTTAGACTCGAGGCCTGCCTCGTCAGCACCAAGACCTCCCTCGGGAAATGCCGGCTCAGGCCATTGCATGCCTTTTTTGAGTGCAGAAAAATCACAGAGCAGTTTGTCTGCTGCAAATAACTTAGGAAGCCTGCAGCAGGCCAGCATGGTTTTGCCTCTCTGGTTTCCTATTGGAAATCTCTCGGTCAATCTTGTGAATTGGGTGGAAGTGTTTGCTGATTCTGGCTGAGGATCAGTGTCTTAGGAATGATACAAGGAATAAATCCCAAGGGATCATTGCACTGTCCGTGTCTCCAGCCCATCTACTTTACACCATCTCTGTCCAAAGAGATCTGAGGCATTGCTGGGAAATGCCTTAGGGTCTGATATTGTGCAGATTTTAAGTGTGTGACCCAGATGCCTCGGGTATCTCACATAGCAAAAGCTAATCACATTGGGGAAGAAACAGAGTCACATTTCCTGTTTCTTTTCAGTTGATTCTTATAGGCAGTAAAATGGGCATTGGGTATGCCAACTAAGTGTTTCCCCTTATAGCTCCTTATACCTGGCTCCATAATTCAAGGTGATCCTGACCCAAAATAAAATCTCGGCACCACTGAAGTCAAGGGGTGTTCGCCCATTGGTTTGATCAGTGCTAGGATTTTTCTCTAAAGTCAAGCATCTTCCCTCAATCTTTCCCTTTGTCTGTCTATTCAGCTTGTGAGCAATGTGTGGCAGTGCCTGCCTCCTACCTGGCGTATGCACTGGATACTGGCTCTCATTGGGTCCTCTGCATGAAACTCTAGTAGAAAGAGTGACATTGGGATCTGCATTTTATTAACTGCACCCTCAGCCTCTCCTTTCTCCTCTGGCTGGGTCCAGGGTAGAGAGGCCGGGATCCAGAGGGAAGCTGAGGCTCTCTGGCATGCAGCAGAAGAACTGGCAGTCATGCATCATGACTGAGATAATCTGTGTATTTAAAGGGCTGTTTGCAGTTCATTACCCTGCACACCTCTATTATGCTTCTGCGGTTACAGGTTTTCAGAGTAATCTTCTCAAGCACTTGGTAAAGAATAAGAGAAGTCAAAAGTGAGAACTGAACAGTCATGCCACGGAGAGGTGCCGGGACAAGGGGTTCTGGGGATTGTGTTCACAAAGCAAACACAAAAATCATCAAATCCTGGCAGGCCAATCCGAGCAGGGCAGCGGCTATTAGGTTACAGAGTCAACACACCCCAGAAGCGTGTATTCATTCGTCTCTGTATTTTGCAGCTTCAAGATACCTTGCTGCAGAAGGAAGAGGAACTTGCTAGGTTACATGAAGAAAATAACAACCTCCGACAATACCTGAATTCAGCTTTGATTAAGTGCTTGGAAGAGAAGGCCAAGGTAGGGTGTTCACACCCGCTGTGGAAGCATGTGTAGAGAAAATGGAAATGCAGCATGCAGGTGAAATGCTTAATAGGTAAATGGGGTAACGGCCACAGGTCGATATAAAGACCTCTCCAACACTTGCAAAATGTCCAGAAGGGTGGTCATGTTCTAACGTGATCGTTGTTTCATGGTTTGCCTGGCTGTCGTAGACAGGACTAAGTCATGTTCCTGAGTTACGTTAAACCCTGAACTTAGAATCGTAGGAAATGAAGGTTGAAAGGACCTCGGGAGGTCACGTCAAGTCCAACCCCTGCTCCAAGCAGGACCAGCCCCAACTACATCATCCCAGACAAGCCTTTCTCGAGTTGGGCCTTAAAACCCTCCAAGGATGGAGACTCCACAACCCCTGTGGGTAACCTGCTCCTGCTTTTCACCACCCTCCTAATAAGAGAGTTTTTCTTAATATCCAACCTCAACTTCCCTTGTTGCAGCTTGAGCCCGTTGCTCCTTCTGTCATCTGCCCCCACTGAGACCAGCCCAGCTCCATCCTCTTTGCAGCCCCCCTGCAGGGAGGTGAAGGCTGCTATTCAATCCCCCTCCGTCTTCTCTTCTCCAGACTCAATAAGTCCAGTTCCCTCAGCCTCTCCTCACCAGTCCTGTCCCCCAGCCTCCCAACCATTTTTATTGGACTCCCCAGTGTGCTCACATCCTTTCTGCAGCGGGGGCCCACAGCTGGACACAGGACTCCAGATGTGGCCTCCCCAGTGCTGAACAGAGGGGAAGAATCACTGCCCTCAATCTGCTGGCATCACTGCTACCAATGCAGCCCAGGATGCCGGTAGCCTTCCTGGCACCAAGGACACACTGCTGGCTCCTGCCCAGCTTCTTGTCCCCTGTCCCCCCAGGTCCTTTTCTGCAGAGCTGCTGCCCAGCCCGCCACCCCCAGCCTGCACCGGTGCAGGGGATTGCTCCCTCCTCAGTGCAGCACTTTGCACTTGTCCTTGTTGAACCTCATGAGATTTCTTTTGGCCCAGTCCTCCAATGTGTCCAGGTCTCTCTGAATCCCAACCCTTACCCCCCTGCACATCTACTGCTCCCCCCATTTGGGGTCATCTGCCGATTTGTTTAGTGTGTACTCCATCCCATCTTTCAGATCATTAATAAGGATATTTAACTTTATCACCTCTAGTCCATGATTCAAACAGGCTGAAAAGTATTTGGGCCAAAACTTCCTTTGGAAAAACTGCAGATTCAGCAAAGCATAAACCTCAGCCAATTCCATCTGAACGTTGCTGGTTTTTTGGGTTGAAATATTTCTTTATTAATTAACTAAACACAAAACGTTTCATTTAACTATATTCAAAATTGCACATTTCCATTTTTTTCTTGAAACTTATTGCTTCACCATTTTCATAAACTCTATTTTTTTAAAATGCTCCCCCCACCCCTCCTTTTTGTTTTTTAATAAAAAGGCTCAAATCCAAAATGATTTTTTTTTCCTTGGGTCATACAACATCTTTGTTTGTCCTGGATCAAGGTTTGTTTTGGGGGTTGGTTGGTTGGTTTCCCCCCCACACTTGCCAGAGGACCAAAAACCCAATGATTTGCTCACTATGGTTTCCTAGAAGAAGAGTTCAGAAGAAGTAATGATCTTCTTCTCCCCCAACACCTCTATCTGCTGATCAGTCCTTCCAGTGGCAGCAAGGATGTCTCTTTTTCCATCTCTGGAAGGCAAAGAAGCCTCTGTTCAGAGAGGAGACCCTGTTCCCAGCTCTGCCACAGACTATCCCGGGACCTTAGTCAAGTCACTCAGCCCCCTCATGATGATTGAAGGTGGGCTATGCCCTGAGCCCTGACTCCATGCTTCCTCCAGCAACCCTGGCCCCCACGGGCACAGGAGCTGGGCTCCTTGCTGCCCCTCTAGGGCATGAGGGCAGGAGCTGGGGGTCTCTCGTGGGCAATCCCTATAATTTGTTGTAGGGA